TCAAACATGTATTTTTAATGATTTTTTTTTCAAGGACACTAGGCTACTGGTGGATTTTTGAGAAGAAATTTCGAAGAACCTTGATGTAAGCATGTAAGGATTTTTAAGGATATTTGCAAGGACCTTTAATTAAGCAAACGTGGATTTTTTATAAAATTTTGTATTTCAAGGACCTTTGTGGATTTTTTTTTAAAGAAGTTGTTTAAACAAATTCAACTCTGCAAACCAGGATTTTTTAATAATATTTTCAAAGATCTTTAATTTAGCAAACGTTTATTATTAATAGATTTTTTATTTTAAGGACCCTTAGTCTACTAAATGTGCATTTTTTTTAAAAAAAATCGGATTTTTTAAAAAAATTTCAAGAAAATTCAAGTCAGAGAAAAATAATTTTTTAAAGGATATTTTTAAGGACCTTTTATTCAACAAACCTGGATATTTTATAGATTTTTTATTTTAAGGTTTCTAAAGCTACTAAATGTGGATTTTTTAAAAGAAATTTTTAAAGTCCTTTTAGTATGCAAATCAGAATGTTTTAAGGAAATTTTCAAGGATTCTTAATTTGGCAAAGTTTATTTTTTATAGAATTTTCTTATTCATAGGACCCTTAGGCAACTGCATGTGGAATTTTTAATAGAAATTTTCAAGAACCTTTAAATTAGAAAACCAGGAGTTTTTAGGCAATTTTCAAATATTTTTAAAAGAAAAACTCAAGGACTTTTAGGCCACCAGATGTAAGCTTTTAAAGACCATTTCTTAAGGACTTCTAGATATAGAAATTCCTAAGAATATTTTTTTTCGAGGATAAAATCCCTATCCTTGAATTTTTTGTGCCATTCAAATTCCTAGAATTGCCAAATGTCCCTCTTCAGCACCCTTTTCACACACACACATACACTTTCTTCCTTATCCTTTTTCTTTGCGTGATTTAATTGCAAATGTAAGTAGAAATAAATGTGCGCCAAATGGATTGTCAGATATCACCTCCTTCGTGCTTGCCGTTGCTGCGATTACCGGAAAGTGAAATGTTGCCTAAGCCCTTGTATGTCAGTATGTGTTCCTGATAAATGATGTCGATGATGAGGATAATAATTACATTGCGAGGGAGGGGGGTGGATGGATGAATGTGGGAAAATTGGCGAATAATACGTAATTTTAAGTTGAGTTAATTGTCTATGTGTCGACCTCCACCCTCCGTCTACCCGGATTTGGAGCATTAGACTGGGATTGAAAATAATCCACTGTGTGTCAGTGTGGCAGGAGTAGGAAAAAAAATGAACGAAAACAAATACATAAATAAGCGGAAATGCCAAAAGGATAAATAGACAATAAATAAATATCTGGGTTTGACATGGAGATGGATTGAGTCATTTCATGGTTACATGGCGGCAAAGGGTAACTACAAAGGGATTTAAAAAAAATTTCCCAGTTGAAAGTGATAATATGAAACTAAAACCGATTTAAAAAAATAAAAAAATTTAAAAAAAAAATTAAAATAAAATTTAAAAATATTTTTACATAAAATTTAACAAAATCTATTATTAAAAAAAAAAAATAAATAAATAAATAAATAAGAAAAAAATAAAATAAAAATTAAAAATATTTTTACATAAAATTTAACAAAATCTATTATTTAAAAAAAAAATAAATATTTTCAATTCATTTTTTTTTAAATGTAAAAGAAAATATTTTTTAAGAAATCCATTATTCGAGGATTTTTTGAAAAATAAATTTTTGAAATTTGTAGAATTTATTTAAAAATATTTTTGTTATTTATCATTCCCTTCTGCTACACCCTTTCCTTACAGAACCCGAAATCCTCCCACACATTATTTTACCCTGACACAACAGTTGAACGTTAATTTTTTTTCTTTTTTTTCATCTCATTTTCATATCGCGCAAAGGGCATATTTAATTGATTTGTTTGTTTAACCCATATCCAACGTCCGCCAACGTTCCATACCCTCTTCTTGCCCCGGCACCCATACAATTACACACACATCACCCAGCAGACTGACACACATCACATTACAATTCGTTTTAATTAATCCATAATTTATGAAAGACATAAATGACAGGGGACGGAGAGAGTGGGGAGGAGAGGAGAGGTATCAAACTGCAATTGAAACGGGAAATTCGTATGAAAATGTAACCGTCAAACAAATACTGGCTGTCACATAAATTGAATATCAGATTACCAGATATATTTATGGCGGATGTGAGAACTAATTAATATTAATTTTGTATTTCTTTGGTGAGATATGGAAATGTGCGAATTTGTGTAACATGAGAATTAGTGCGGGGTATTAGTTCAGGCATTGAAATTTGATACCAAAATGCTGCAAGTAAGGGGACAGGAGAAGCTGAAAAAAAAATTTTCTATAAATCCACGTATGGTCCTTGAAAAAATATTTTCTATAAATCCACGTTTGATCCTTGAAAAAATATTCTTTAAAAATCCACGTTTGTTGATCCTTGAAAAAATATTCTTTAAAAATCCACGTTTGTTGATCCTTGAAAAAATATTCTTTAAAAATCCACGTTTGTTGATCCTTGAAAAAATATTCTTTAAAAATCCACGTTTGTTGATCCTTGAAAAAATATTCTTTAAAAATCCACGTAGAGTGGATTGTTGATCCTTGAAAAAATATTTTTTAAAAATCCACGTTTGTTGATCCTTGAAAAAATATTTTTTAAAAATCCACGTTTGTTGATCCTTGAAAAAATATTTTTTAAAAATCCACGTTTGTTGATCCTTGAAAAAATATTCTTTAAAAATCCACGTTTGTTGATCCTTGAAAAAATATTTTTTAAAAATCCACGTTTGATCCTTGAAAAAATATTTTTTATAAATCCACGTTTGATCCTTGAAAAATATTTTTTATAAATCCACATTTGATCCTTGAAAAAATATTCTTTAAAAATCCACGTTTGTTGATCCTTGAAAAAATATTCTTTAAAAATCCACGTTTGTTGATCCTTGAAAAAATATTCTTTAAGAATCCACGTTTGTTGATCCTTGAAAAAATATTCTTTAAAAATCCACGTTTGTTGATCCTTGAAAAAATATTCTTTAAAAATCCACGTTTGATCCTTGAAAAAATATTTTTTATAAATCCACGTTTGATCCTTAAAAAAAATATTCTTTAATAATCCACGTTTGTTGATCCTTGAAAAAATATTCTTTAAAAATCCACGTTTGTTGGTCCTTGAAAAAATATTCTTTAAAAATCCACGTTTGTTGGTCCTCTGATCCTTGAAAAAATATTCTTTAAAAATCCACGTTTGTTGATCCTCGAAAAAATATTCTTTAAAAATCCACGTTTGTTGATCCTTGAAAAAATATTTTTTAAAAATCCACGTTTGTTGATCCTTGAAAAAATATTCTTTAAAAATCCACGTTTGTTGATCCTTGAAAAAATATTCTTTAAAAATCCACGTTTGTTGATCCTTGAACAAATATTCTTTAAAAATCCACGTTTGTTGATCCTTGAAAAAATATTCTTTAAAAATCCACGTTTGTTGATCCTTGAAAAAATATTCTTTAAAAATCCACGTTTGTTGATTCTCGAAAAAATATTCTTTAAAAATCCACGTTTGTTGGTCTTTGAAGAAATATTCTTTAAAAATCCACGTTTGTTGATCCTTGAAACAATATTCTTTAAAATCCACGTTTGTTGATCCTTGAAAAAATATTCTTTAAAAATCCACGTTTGTTGATCCTTGAAAAAATATTCTTTAAAAATCCACGTTTGTTGATCCTTGAAAAAATATTCTTTAAAAATCCACGTTAGTTGATCCTTGAAAAAATATTTTTTTAAAAATCCACTTTTGTTGATCCTTGAAAAAATATTATTTAAAACTCCACGTTTGTTGATCCTTTGGTCCTTGAAAAAATATTCTTTAAAAATCCACGTTTGTTGATCCTTGAAAAAATATTCTTTAAAAATCCACGTTTGTTGATCCTTGAAAAAATATTTTTTATAATTCCACGTTTGTTGATCCTTGAAAAAATATTTTTTATAATTCCACGTTTGATTCTTGAAAAAATATTTTTTAAAAATCCACGCCTCTGTTAATCCTTGAAAGAATATTCTTTAAAATTCCACGCCTCTGTTAATCCTTGAAAAAATATTCTTTAAAATTCCACGCCTCTGTTAATCCTTGAAAGAATATTCTTTAAAATTCCACGCCTCTGTTAATCCTTGAAAAAATATTCTTTAAAATTCCACGCCTCTGTTAATCCTTGAAAGAATATTCTTTAAAATTCCACGCCTTGAATCCTTGAAAAAATATACTTTAAAATTCCACGCCTCTGTTAATCCTTGAAAAAATATTCTTTAAAATTCCACGCCTCTGTTAATCCTTGCAAAAATATTCTTTAAGAATCCACATTTGTGGGTCCTTGAAAAAATATTCTTTAAAAATCCATGTTTGTTGGTCCTTGAAAAAATATTCTTTAAAAATCCACGTTTGTTGGTCCTTGAAAAAAATATTCTTTAAAAATCCACGTTTGTTGATCCTTGAAAAAATTTTTCTTAAAAATCCGCGTTTGATCCTTGAATAAAATAGTCTTTAAAAACCATTTTTTTGTAATACCTGAAGGGCCTCATATGAATATTTTCTTTGGGCCGTCTTGGCGTATACGTAACGTCACAATGTAATGTACTACTTACAATTATTTCTCATGCCTCCTTTTTATCTTTTCAATTTCTTGTTCTACTTCTTATCTTCTCATTTAAATATCCCAATAGCCAATTTCGAACACATCCCCTCACCCCTCCAAGTAAGAAAACTTAATCAGCTGAACATTTATTATTCCACTACTTTATTTTCTCTCTTCTGCATTGCTAAATGGCTTTACATTTTTCATTTCCTCCCGATTACCTCAAGCTATGGCAACTATCAATTGTGTGCGAGTAATCGGAAATCAAATAGAGAATCCAAAAACTACAGCTACTTAAAGGCGAAACAGAAAGAGAAAAAATAGCGATACTTACGATAAATATCCAATTTCCAGCCATCTTCCATGCCCGATTCGGGTATCATGCTCTGCTCGGCCCGGCATGATAAATATTTGCCACGGTCATCAATTGTGGGTGTAAAGGTTAATATTGATGTGGTCATGTTACCATCGGGATTAGCCTGTTTCAAAAAGAAGTAGAAAAAAAAAAACGGAAAACAATCAGAAAAACACACACACAGACACAGATACAAATACACAAAATTAATTAGAGTGACAGTGTGAGTGGTAAAAACAACAACAACAACAAAAACCATAAGACCGCAGGCGAAAGTGGTCTTTGTGTGGGATCTTCGCTTAAATATAAATATGGTTTTTGGAGAATGCAGTAGCGAAAAAAAAATCGCAAAAGAAAAACAGTACAATTTTGATACGGAAGGAAAACCAAAAAAAACAAGAACGCCACGGAAGAAAAACAAGATAAAAAAATGATAAAAAAAAGAAGAAGAAGAAATGGCGTAAAGAACTCAAAGCAAAATGGAGAGCAGCTGAGATTGGCTTTATTTAACTTTTGAATGAATAACTGCATGGTTGGTTGCCTGGTTTGTTGGTTGGCTGGCTGGATGAATGGATGGATGACTGTTGTTTGGGATAAACAATCTGGGCAAACGGAACCATCCATCAATTGTGGGTAGGAGGATGGAGGAGATGGAAAAAATAAAGTAAAAAACGCAGTATTTGATAACGGAGGAAATATTTAAGGATGGGAAATGGGTTTGCTTTTTAATAAAATGAGATTTTATTAATGACAAAAATAATTAATTGATTGCATATCAGTAAAATAAACAGTAAATCAAAAAGAATATAAAAAATAATATATAGAGTAATAATAATAAAAATAATTAAAATTTTTAATAATTACAAATATATAATAAATGGCATATAAAAAATAGTAATTAAATAATAACAAAAAATTAAGGAATACGGAAAATAATAATGAATGAAATGAAAAATAAATAAAAATTAAAAATAATATTAAATAACTAATTTATAATGACAAACGAAGGGATACGAAAAAATAAGGAACTTTGAATGCCCTCCACCATTTGGAACGTGGAACGTATTTGGAAATGTTCAAAAAAAAAAAAAAAAAAAAAAAAATATAGCATTAGCATTACCAAATATTCTGGTAAAATCTTAAAAACACCGAATATAGCCGTTATATTGGGATATATACACAGACATGGACCTGCATAGGCAACTTTTGTCATAAGTCATTACAATATTGAAATACGAGACTTGAAAAAATCCGTGAATAATGTGGCGGCATAGATAATTTTCTGTCATAACCTACAGCACCAATTATCGGGGGGGTACCGTTGTATGGGGGCTATGCGATATCGTGGACATATATAAAGAATTCTCTTTCAGGGGATAAAGTACCCAGAAAGAACTGCTTCAGCGGATTTTCAGACAATTCCATGGGAAAATGTGGTTAAAATCATCAAAATACCGAATAAAGGGGGGGGGGGGGGGGGGTGGTTTACAATTGTATGGAGGCTATAACATATCGTGGACCTATATAAACAATTCTCTTCCAGAGCGTAAAGTACCTAGAAAGAACTCCTTGTGCGGATTTTCAGACAAAATGTGGCTAAAAAGGTTCCGAAGCAGTTGGCCAATATTGTCCAATTCGTATCTGACCACAGACTGAGAAAAAAATTTTTTTTTTGGAAAATGTGGAAATACGCAAGAGTTAACAGATATGTGCGAACCGAAGTATTCCATTTTCATACTTCATCTAATACATACAATAATATAGGTATATGCAAATTTGGAAATCGAACATGTATATCAAATTTTATGCGAAATCATAATTTCCAGATTTCTGGTTAAGATAAATATTTAGATACAGAATCGCCGACTTTTTTTTCGCAAGTTATGACAGATCATTGTATTGAAAATATTTACCAGAAGGGGTTCGCAGTTATTTATCACCTTCACAGCAAATATTTTATTAACAAAAATTATTGCATGTGTGAAATTTGAAGAGAGATGGATGCTCATTTCTCTTTCCTTGGACGTTTTGTTTTTCAAAAATCTTGAACCCTATGTGTGGGAGGTACCAGAAAAAATGGTCCGATCTCTACCATCTTTGTAACACATCTTGTGTTGATGGAAATATTAAGAAGTACCAAGTCTGGAATGGAATCGGATGTTAATTTCGCGTTCTATGAGCTTCATGAATATTCAAAATGTTGACCCCTTGAACCAGAAGAAGCAGTCCTATAAATCCAACCTTCACACCGGATCATGGGTTAATTAAAAAAATTGTGTGATATGTGTAATTTGAAGATAATCAGATGCCTCTCTTATTTCGGATTTTATGATAGTTTTAGTTACTCAAAACTTTTACCCTTTGTGGGGGTGTTACCAGAAGGAATGATCCAATCTCTATGATCTTGTGTTGGTGGAAATATTGAGATGAACCAAGTTTGGAATGGAATCGGATGTTAATTTCCTGTTTTAGGAGCTTCATGAATATTCACAATTTTTACGCTTTGTGGGGGAGGTACCAGAAGCAGTGGACCGATATAGACCAATTTCACACCAGACCTTGGGTTAATAAAAATATTGTGATGTGTGTAAGTTGAAGAGAACCGGATGCTTATTTCGGATTTTATGACCGTTTTGATTATTCAAAACTTTGATCCTATGTCGGGTTGGTAGCTGAAGAAATGGTTCGATTTCAGCCATCTTTATAACAGATCTAGATTTTATGGAAATTTTGAAATGTGACAAGTCTGAATGGAATTGGATGTTAATTTCGCGTTAAATGAGTTTCATGGATATTCAAAATGTTGTTGTTGGAGTGGACCTATATGTTCCATCTTCACACCCGACCTTGGGTTTGTAGGAATATTGTGATGTGTGCAATTTGAGGACAATCGGACCCTTAGTTCACATTTTATACGAGCTATAATCATTCCAATTTTTGGTTCTTTGTGGGGGAGGTACTTCATGGAGTGGACCGATATTGTCCATTTTAGGACTCATAGGAATTCTAGGCTTTGCAAAGTTTGAACAAAATTGGATGCACTTTTCTTACTCAAAGAGGTCAATTATTTTTGGTGAAAATCTTGAACTTTTGTGGGGGAGGTATCAAAGCGAGTGAACCAATATTGCACATCTACGAACTCTATCTAAGATTGGCAATAATATTACGATGTACCAAGTTTGGATCAAATCGGATACTCCCTTCGAGAGTGATCGTGCACATCATTCAGCTAGACACCCCTAGGTCGACTCCAAATGTCTTGAAACCGATTTGGTCCTGTATTCTAGCCATAGCCAAAAAAAGTTCACACAAATATTGTGATCCATTATTCGATGCCCTCCAAAGCGCTAGGCTTTCTAAATTCAGAGAATTAAGGAACGAAAAATTCCGTGTCGATCGATCTGTAATTTGATATGTAGAGCGACACTTAAATCAGGAAAGGGTTTGGTCCATTTCAACATCAAATGTTTTGCAAACATCTTCAAAAACAATGGATTTCTATGGTGATTCTAACCCAACCTCGTGCAACATTTCGTGAGGTCCGAACGATAATTATATAATACCCCCAACACTTCCATATAAATAAAATTGTTTTGAAAAATAAATTAGTTATTTGCGAAATGAGTTATTTTTTTTTCGAAAAAAATATTAAAAAACATAAAATAAATAATTAAATAATGAGGTAATTAAATTTAATATTTGTGTCACTTACAATTTCCCTTGTATTCTTCATCGGTGTACTGCCCTTCCACCAGGTAATGGTAGGCGCCGGTCTCGATCCGGTTACAACACAACTCAATTGATAGGAATTCCCCGCCGACAGAGGGCGATTTTCTCCCTGTAGCTTCACAACCAGAGGACGTACTGGGAAGAAGAAGAAATAAAACAAAAAAAATATTTTTTAATATCATTGTTGCTGATGATGTCTTCCGTCGTAGGACGAAATAACAAATAAGTAAAACAAACAAAGACCTAGAGCTAAATTTTGTTTAACTTACATTTAAAATAATTTAAAATTAGTGTCGAATTAAATAACTAAAAATTAGAAATTAAATAAATAAATAAATAAAAATATATTCTAAAAATTTTTTAAACATCGAAAAATAAGTTTTCTTTAATTTTATTTTTTTTTTAAATAAACAAATAAAAAAAATAATAACAAATAAAAAATAAATAAAATAAATAAATAAATAAAAACAATAATAATAAATAAAAAAAATAAATAAATAAATCAATAAATTATAATAATTATAATTATAATAACAATATTAATAATAATAATAATAATAATAATAATAATAATAATAATAATAATAATAATAATAATAATAATAATAATAATAATAATAATAATAATAATAACAATAATAATAATTTTCTCTTTAATTTTTAAATAAATTTGTCTTTATTTTTTTATCTGTTTCCCATTTTTATGAAACATTTTTAAATTTATCGATTCCCAATACAATTCCCACCCACCTATCACATTTCAAAGTGTCACAAAAATCGATTGCAAATTCACTTTGTAGCATTTATTTAGCAAATAATTTTTTTCTTTTTTCGTTCAAATTGAAACGCTTTCAAAATTTCACACTTACAGTTCATGTCGAGTGTCACGGTGTTGGTTATTGGCACCGTGATATTGTTGTTGGCCGCCACGCATGTTAGCTGCATATTCAGGTTGTTGCGTTTCAATTTGCCCAGCGATAGGATATTGCCGACCCGTCGATCGGACAGCGGATGTGATGAGCCGTCAAGCAGTGTATTTTCACGCCACCAGGTAACGCGTGGTTGTGGTGAACCTGCATAAAGGGATTTTGAGAAAAAAGAAAAAAATATATATTAAAATTAAATAATTGATGTATGATGGGGGAAATTATTATATTAAATATGAGGAGGTGGAAACAATTGAAGAGAGGGAGAGAAAGAGAGAGAGAGAGGGGGTGTGGGTAAGAAGGAGGGCTAAATTTAAAATGTTATTTGTTTAAAATTTTTTAAGAAATAAGTTTTTTGTATTAAAAAAAATTTAAAACTTATATATCTTTGGCTTTCGGAATAGAATTAATTTTTTCTGGAAAATATATTTTTTTATCTAAAACAGGAAAGGGAAACCTTTTTTCAATATTTTTAAAATATGTTCTTAACTTTGATTTTATTTAAAAATTAATTTTATTTTTTACTACTTCATTTTTTTTTTTTAATTTACAGGTATTTATAAATAATTTTCACAGCATTTATTTTAAGTACACAATTAAAAAAAAAAAACTATTTTAGTTTTATTTATTAAAAAAACAGTAAGGAAAGCTCAAAAGTCGGTCGGGGCCGACTATATGATACCCTACACCACTATGCATATTTAGTACAACTCTCATAAAATAAAGTTTTATATTAGGTATTTCTGAGCTCTATGAGATATCTATCTATCAAAATATGAATATGGTAGAGTGCATATTCCGAAAGTTGAAGATTTAATCCCCAAATCGGATGAAACTTATATATGGGAGCAAATTTGAAATTCTTGCTCCTATGCTAAATTCGGTTGAAGTGCGAAAATCTATTTGGACTAATATTAGCCATTTCGTGCACAAAAACCCTAAAATCGGACGAAGATATATAGGGGAGCTATATCCAAATCTGATCCGTTCTTGATAAAATTTAAATCATATATTGCTAGGCTGAATCTAATATCAGGCATGATAACTTTTGTCTTAAGCCATTACAATATTCAAATGCGAAACTAAACACAAATCGGTGAATAATGTCGCTAAAATCATCAAAAGCCCGAATATCGGGTTGTTATATGGGGGCTATACGATGTCGTGAACCTGTACAGACAATTTTCTGTCTTAGGCTGTATTATCCATTTCGAACTTCAAATACCAAATTTAAAACATTGCCGGTGAATAATGTCGTTTAAATCACCAAAATGCCGAATATCGGGAGGTACCGTTATATGGGGGCTATACGAAGACGTGAACCTGCAGAGACAATTTTCTATCTTAGGCTGTAGTACCCATTTCGAACTTCAAATACCAAATTTAAAACAACTCCGGTGAATAATGTCGCTAACATCATCAGAATACCGAATAAAGGGAGGTACTGATGTATGGGGCGTATACGAAGACATGGACCTGCACAGAAAATTTTCTGTTATAGGGCACAGTATCCATTACGAACTTCAAATACCAAATTTGAAGCAATTTCGGTAAATAATGTCGGTAAAATCATTAGAATATCGAATATCGGGAGGTCCCGTTATATGGGGGCTATACGAAGACGTGGATCTGCACAGACAATTTTCTAACATGGGACGTAGTACCCATTGCGAACTTCAAATACCAAATTTGAAAGAATTCCAGTAAATAATGTCGCCAAAATCGTCAAAATGCCGAATATCGGGAGGAACAGTTATATGGGGGCTATACCAAAACGTGGACCTACACAAACAATTTTCTGTGTAAGACTGTAGTATCCATTACGAACTTTAAATATCAAATTTGAAATAATTCCGGTAAATAATATCGCTAAAATCATCAAAATACGGAATATCGGGAGGTACCGTTATATGACTGCTGTTTAAGTTAGAATTGCAAATTGCCAAACGATCCAGAGAGCCTACGTTCGCTTAGTACGGACCGTAGAGAGATGCATTCTTGGGCTAAAAGGTTGCCTGCAACTTCCCCTTGGAGCCTACGTTCGCTTGGCTCGGACCGTAGGGAGAAAGCCTTCCCAGTCTGAAGATTTTCCCTACAACTCTCCTTGGGGCCTACGTTCGCACAGCTCGGACCGTAGGCAGCTTTTCCAAGTCATTTCTCTACAACTCTCTCTGGGTACTCTCTCAGCCCGTGTTGCTGTTAGAGATTTCCTGGAAGCATCGGTGCTTCCAGCCACCTCGATGCATTGCGACTTGGCATTCATAGTAACTCTCTTGCTAGCTACGGAGCTAACCGCATAAAAAAGGTAATCTGTCAACTCGGGTTGACAAACTCTCACAACAATAAACGGTCATTTATATTATATTAATACTAATCCCCCTTGGTTTTATTTATCTTTTTATTTCTATACGGTCACGATTTGTATGCCTGAGAGAACATCAACGTCTCATACGGAGGGAAACATTTGATCCAATCGAGCCGGATCTCTTACCAGTCCTTTTCCCTTTTTCTCTGGCATAAAGCACGGAAAATCATCCCCCCGCATCCACATACAGTCCACATCACGTCATACACACCATAAACAACAACATCATCTTCATCGATCATCACATAAACAAACAGGTACGTGAAATCATTTTCTTAAAGTGAGCGAAAAAAAAAAAAAAATATTAATATTAAAAAACGAAAACCAAAAGTCGCGAGTGCCTTTTCGGAAATTGTTGCAATAAATATTTATTTGCTGGCCGTCCGTCCGTCACCCTACTCTCCGCAACATCTATTACTTTTTTTTATTTTTTCATACATGCATTGGCTGATTAACTAGTGTTTATTACATAGTGGTGTTCTACTTCGTTTCGATCAGTCGCTAACCAACCTATTCCTATTTTTATTGTTAGACTCTCATTGCAAGGCACTCATTGTTTCACTGCATATCTGCATTAACAAAAACAATACTTCTTCTTTTGGCATCGGTAACCCAAGAACCAAACGAAAAGAAAAAAAAATCGATTTGGTAGTCCGTTCCGTTGTTGTGAGAGCTTGCATTTACTTCTTTATTTTTTTCTAACAACAACACAGTCAGTTGTTGCTGCTCTGCCGCTTGACCGCTTGCTTATGCACCACCACAGGCACGTTGACTACGCTGTCGACGTCGCTTGTGTTTTATTTCGTTTTGTCTGCTTTCGTTATTTCGCTGCACAGTGGGTCGCAGGTGAAAAAATTCGTAATTTATTTTTAAATAAATTTATGAAAATAGACATTTGGTGTTTTTTCTAAATTTTATTACTTTTTTGCTACCAACGAGATTTTTTGGACATTTGCACCCTACAGCCAGCCACATATGTCAAATTGTGATATTTTTGTAGGAAGTAAATACAGTTAATTTCTATATATTTATACAAAAAATTTGCTTGGCTAGGTTGTTATTACTATATTATATTATTTTGTATTTTTTATTAAACTTGAGTTGATTGCCCTGCATACCCTACATTCGGTCATATTGGTATTTAAAAATAAAATTTATTTTTCTTGGAAAATTTATTGGAATTTTTATGTCGCTTTAGAATATTAAAGGTTTGATATTTCTTCGAGTTTGTTTTTTCTTCTCGCTGCGAACGGTCTTATTGAAACGTAGAAAATATAATTAGTGGGATTATTTTTCGAAAACTTATATCCTAGTTGCATACCAAATATTTATTTTTGGATACTAGTCCATTATCAATTGCTCTTTTCTTGCATTTTGGAGAAAGATTTAATCTTCAGTGATTTAATTCTTTTTTTTCTGGGTTGCAATACTTATTCACCATGCCATTCACACCTATGGACATGTTTATTAGAGCTTCGGATGCTCTCATTAAATTTGATGCACATTTCAATTTGGTGCGCGATGAGGATATAGATGAGTTTGAACTAGAGGTTCGCTGCGCTGAAATCGAGAAATTGTGGGCTAAAGTTCAGGAAATGTTTGATAAATGCCTGGACTATTTGATGTCATCGGTAGATTCACAAAAAGAGGATATCGATTCAGTAGACAGTAAATATGAGGTTTCGCATCAGACATATATTAAATGTCTTTCGGCCATTAAGCGGAGACTTACCAAATATCGGAAACTCCCATCGTCACCTTCTAATTCTATCTTAAATGGTTCTATTGTGTCATTAGTTGAAACTTCGGAAAACGCAGTTCCCAATTTAAGTTCGTTGTCCCGAACATCTAAGGATATGGGAACGCAGGTCGATACAATTGCTTCTGAAGTTGATTCAATGAAAAGTGCTAGAAACAACGTCTCGGGTTGGTTTCCTTCGGATAATGTTCACTCTCTTACCCTTCCTCCGTGCGATATTGAGGTTTTCAAAGGAGATTTTCTTTCATGGCCGACTTTCCGGGATTTGTTTACTACGGTTTTCATAAACAATGCCCGCTTAAGTGATATAGAGAAACTTTGCCATTTGGTGCAAAAAACATCCGGGGAAGCTAGGGAAATCGTAAACAAATTTCCTCTTACTCACCGAAGTTTCACTTTAGCTTGGACCGCTTTAAAAAACACATATGACAATAAACGAGTCATTGTAAATAGTCATCTGAAGATTTTATTTGACCTTCCCGCTGTAGATCGAGAATCTAGTTCCAATTTAAAAATAATTCAACGGGGCATAAACACTTGTTTGTCGGCTATGGCAGTTTATGATATTCCAACGGATCAATGGGATCCTATTTTAGTCTTTTTGTGCATTCAACGTTTGCCTAGGTTAACGGTCACCTTGTGGGAGCAAAGTATACGGGATAAATCAGCAATATCTTTGTGGTCAGATTTAGATGCATTTTTGACAGAGAGAATTCAGACTCTTGATTGTTTACGGGACATTAAGGGACCTGATTCACATACCAGATCTAATCAGGCCAGGGTTCAGCCTCACTTCACTAGCGCTTCGGTGAATGTTCCCGCCAAATCCACTTCGGAATTCTTTTGTTCCCTCTGCCCTAGACAAAACCATTCTCTTCGGTCATGTCCTAAATTCCGAATATTGTCGATAGAAAAGAAATTGTCTGTTGTCAAAACACAGGGATGTTGTTGGAACTGTCTGTCTCGGGGACATTCAGTTAAAGAGTGCAAAAGTTCTAATCGGTGTAGTATTTGCAAAGGCAC